TTTTGGTAAAAACTCAACTCGTCGTGTTTGGAGGAAGAAGAATGCTGAGTTGCATCCCAAGAACACCATACCTACTGTGAAGCATGGGGGTGGAAACATCATGCTTTGGGGCTGTTTTTCTGCAAAGGGGACAGGACGACTGATCCGTGTTAAGGGAAGAATGAACGGCCATGTATCGTGAGATTTTAAGCCAAAACCTCTTTCCATCAGTGAGAGCATTGAAGATGGAACGTGGCTAGGTCTTCCAGCATGACAATGATCCCAAACACACCGCTCGGGCAACGAAGGAGTGGCTCCGTAAAAAGCATTTCAAGGTCCTGGAGTGGCCTAGCCAGTCTCCAGACCTCAACCCCATAAAAAAATTTGTGGAGGGAGTTCAAAGTCAGTGTTGCCCAGCGACAGCCCCAAAACATCACTGCTCTAGAGGAGATCTGCATGGAGGAATGGGCCAAAATACCAGCTACAGTGTGTGCAAACCTGGTGAAGACTTACAGGAAACGTTTGACCTCTGTCATTGCCAACAAAGGTTATGTTACAAAGTATTGAGTTGAACTTTTGTTATTGACCAAATACTTATTTTCCACCATAATTTACAAATAAATTCTTTAAAAATCTTCTTTAAAAAAAAAGTGATTTCCTGGATTTTTTTTTCTCATTTTGTCTCTCATAGTTGAAGTGTACCTATGATGAAAATTACAGACCTCTCTCATCTTTCTAAGTAGGAGAACTTGCACAATCAGTGGCTGACTAAGTACTTTTTTGCCCCACTGTAGGTGCACTTTGTAGGTTTAGTTACCATCTGCTGCTGCACAATTCGTTAGCCAACATCTACGTAGGACCACCGCTCACTAAATATTTTATGGGTGGTGGATCTCACAGCAGATATCGTCATGGTATTAGAATGTAATTGTGAGTGATTTCATGATTGACATGCCAATTTCAACACTGAACCTAAGAAAATATCCATTTAACCACCTCATTTTTACAGGGTTTCTTTGATGATAATAGTTAACAGGGTTAAGTAACAGGTTTGAAAGTAACATGGCTGAGATTTTTTAGCATAGAATTAGCAAATATGCCAAAATGAAGAACCAAAATGTGGTTAACTAGCATCCATGCTAATGCCTCAAAGACATTAAAGACCTTATAATGATTTCCTGAAAGTGTATGTTTAATTAACTATAATCCGAAATTTAGGTACCATAGTTGTTACATAACTTTCAAAGTGACCTCGTCAGTCAATATTACAACATTGTGATCTATAAAGAAATCAGAATAAGAAAACTTACTATTCCTCTTCCTGTGATCTTTAGGAAATACAAATGATGCAATTTTCGGTCAAAATAAATGTGTTCAGATAACAGGGTTGAGCGAAAGCTGTGGACCTTAACATACATTTTTCATAACCTTCATACATTAATACATTAATCCTTAATAATACATTTTTGGGGGTATTTTATTGGTTGTATTTCAAGGTAAAATGCAGTTATGTGGGCTGAAACACACAAAATACTGTTTTCTCAGTGCTGGTTGGCTTTTATTAATGTTTTAAGTTATTCTTCTGAAACAGGTTGCACATATGTTTTTGTGAAGCCTTTATGTTTAATATGTATTTTTTAAAGCATAAAAAATAAATCTATGTTTACTTTACATAAATATTTGTAGATGTAGTATCAGTGGGACACAAATTGGACCCGAATTCTGGAATCAGCCTTGTGTGCGGTGCGGTTATGAGCAGCGTATTTCTAACTGAATGAACTTTAACAGTCCAGATGATTTCATTTGGTAGTTTTGCTACTACTAATAAAGTTATATGCTGAGGTAATAAAGTGAAGGATAAAACACATCAGCCTTCATCTGTGAATAAGTCGTTTGCATCTGAACTCAGGGGGGCTGTTAGATAAGCGGTGCGGCCTGGCCCACCTACGCTGTGTGTGTGTGAGGCATGAGGCAGGTGGAGAACAGAAATATGATGTGGTGCACTGTACACACTGTAAGTGTGAGTGTCTGGCTGAGTAATACAGAGAGAGAGAGAGAGAGAGAGAGAGAGAGAGAGCTCATTGTGGAAATAAAACTCTGAGTCATGCTGTATGTCTGAGTGCTGCCTCCCCTGCAGGCCTCCCTCCTCTGTTCCTCTCACAAAATGGCCTCTGCTGAGCAAACCACCCTCAGAATTCACTGTAAAACTCCAGGAAATCACAGAAAACTGCTCAGGTTGCTTGTAGTTTTTCCAAGTATAAATGTTTCCTCAGTAGGAACAAACAGTCTCTATCAGCAAGCAGAATGCAGTGATGTGGCCAGACCAATTTTTGACTGGGAGGAGGGAGCAGTGGTTTTGTAAGTGGGGCACAGAATCAGATAGAGGGGCATCTGTGAAAATACTTTGACATGAGTAATTATAGATAGATTTCTATATAGTAGATTTCTAATTGATTCAAAAAAAAAAAAGTTTATGTTGCTGTAGAATGACTCAAATATGTCTATAAAAGATAAAAACCACAAAACTATCTTTAAAATGTATAATAAATAGTATTTATAAATAACTGTTCACCCTTTCACATTTGTCCCCCCCAAGAATCAAGTAAATAGCACAGACATAAAGACATAAATCAAACCTGAAAATCTACAGCACTTAGAAAGACTTAGCAAGTCTGCCTGTTCTATCCCACTATAACTACACTTTACCTCAAAATATAATCAATAAAATACTGTCAAAAATGTGTATCATTGATTTGTTGAAGCATGAAAAATGTGAAAACAATGAAAGTATCAAGTATGGAAAATGTCTCTCAACCCTGTTACCTGAACACATTCACCACTAGAAAATATCTGGAATATTCCACACGTCACATGTTCAAGAGGAAACTGCATCATCCAAATTTCCTGAAGATCATGTGAAGAAGACCAGCTCTCTCTTTTCCTCTTTATTTTCACTGATACAGCAATACTGACTGATAAGGTCACATTGAAAGTACAAAGTAAAAATTAAATGACAGATTTTATTGTAGAGCATTTTGGTTGACACTCGTCATTTAAATGTTATATAAATAAAGTCACCGCAGATCAAAAGCAAATTATTTATAAAACAAACACATTTTGTGTATTTTCTGTGGTAAAAAATGTATTTTGTACTTTCATCCCTGTCATTCTTTTAAGACCTTCTCAACAAAGAAACCTTGTAAAGGGTGAGATAGTGTTCCTGAGATGGGCTAACACATTTTATTCTGAGTAATTAAATTCATGGCACACCAATCGCGGAATCATCCACATCATCGCTGATGTGATAAAACTTTGTACGTCACTGAGATGAGCTGAGTAATTAGCAGTGAAGAGAAGTGTGAAGGGCAGCTGGCATTTAAACATAAAAACAGAAACTGCTGAGTTTTTGAGATTTGGACATGACAGTGATGATGCACTCCCTCAATTCCCACGTCCGCCTGATGATGTGTGACCTGCACTGCACTCTATGCAGCCTGTGTTCCATTGACCTGCTGAAAAGAACAAACCGCCACTGCTGCGTCTCAGCCATGGGGCCAAAGGTCACACAGGATTGCAGGCTTTTGGAATAGTGTTGCAACGGCGATGTTTCGTCAGGTGCAGTGAGCTCCTGCCTGCCTGAAACTCGAGGTAATCTGGGTAAGCAGCTTTAACCCGGTTCAGAGGAATTTAGCCTGGTTGTAAAAGCCTTCAGGACCGACTCTCTCCTTGTCCACATCAGGTGACAAAAGTGACCAGATACAGGGGATAAAACATACACATTATACTCCAGGGAATATATCATCACTGTCATAATAAAAATAATTATAAAAATAAAACGATAATAGAATAATGAAAAACATTATAATATGTTAATAAGAATTTATTCCAATTAATTTTGTAACATTTCTGTTGGTCCATTCAAAAGGCAGCTGGCAGCAACCTAAAAAAAAACATGGTCATGTCAAAGCCTTGTTAACATTTTATGTGTGTTTAAATATATATATATTATACATACAAATATATGTATATAAATGACCTGCTGTGATTGGTTGTACCTCATTCAAAGTCTAAGCTGAATCACTTATAACTTTAGCAGAAATGGGCAGGGTTTAATTGATGTAGGTGGGAGGATATATGAAAATGATTTGTTTTTTTATGGCATCATAAAAACAGTGAATTCAAAATAGGCTGTTCTGGTCTATTTCTCCAAAAAAAGTGAGGCATATTTGGTTTACCATGATATAAGCCCTTCAAATTGAATTGTTCTTTCTAGAATATCTCAGCGTCCTCTACATCCATGTGAAATCTTTACTCATATGACATCAACACTCTTCAGCCTGGCAAACTGCCATATCAGATATGAGCACTGATGAGGAATTACTGCATGTGTGCTGTGGGGTTCATGACCCCTTTCAGTTTGAATATTATCTAATGTGTTGAAAGCAAGTGTTTTGAAATGTCACTGCTCTCTGAAGACTGATCGATGACCGGTTACCAACAAGCATCTGACCCTTGCCATTAGGAATTATATTGCCCTTTCCTGTGACAACATGAAGCTCTTTTAACCTTCAGTTCAGCATAGAGCTTCGGTCTCCTACTGTTTTGTGAATTTTTCTTTTAAGTTTTAACGAGGCTCTTTTGGTGCAGCAGGTTCAGTTTGTACTTGATAGAATTTTTTTTCTTTTAGGAAAACTATTTATTATTCTCTTCATTGACATTTTTGTCAGTCTGAGTATCTGTTGAATAGTCGAACTGCTGAGGCTATTAATGGACGCGCTACTGAGTTGTTTCCCAGCACTGGCAACATGCAGGACGTCTCTGTGAGAAAGTTAACGTACTTTTTTTTTCTTACAAGAAAAACATTGAAACTAAGGAATGTGATGAAAAGATGCAAAAGAAATATATACAAATATCGTAGACTTACTGTATATAATATGCAAAAAAAAAATAAAAAAAAAAGATATTCACATTTTATATTTTAAATGTGTCTGAAAAACAACTCCAAGTCAGAATTTTGCTATATCATTTTATTTTTTTGTTTTATTAAAATAACACAATCAATTTTTACATTAAAAAAACACAATTATCTGTCGTAAATCATGTAACTTGCTTACGCATGCCGAACAATGTGCTGACCAGGGTCCCAACAGTTTCAGAGAGGGGAAATGAACCTTTAAGCAATGCTGAGACGACCCTCAGCAATCCTTTAATTCACTTGCAGGGAGATTGCCCAGAGCCAATCAAGCAGGCAACAATGGTCCGTGACCTGACAGCACCCATGGCCTGTGTGGGTCAGAGGCGGTGACGCACAGAGCAAAGCCAACATAGGAGCCTCATTACATTACATTACACTCTGTTACCACGTCATGTAATTGTCCTTACCTCGAGTGACTGAAGTGCTTATAAAAGGCAATAACATTCATATCAATCTAAGTCCTTTTCCTACATGAGGGAGCGAGAAAGAGGAGAGCAGAGAGACAGAAAGGAAGCAGCGCTGCTCTTCAAGCCGCAGACGCCATGCGCTTCCCGCAAGGGGCATCTGGTTCTGCTAAATGGTGAGAACATTTTCTACCTTTGTTTTTCATCTGGCTGGGAGGTTTAAGGGCGACACATTTTCATATCCTGTTTTCGGCACCGCTGTTGCCCTTGAAGTGAGATTTATTGCTTACTGAGGGTCAGGCACTGCGGCGAGCATGCGTGTGAGTGTCACTCGTGCACAGTACGCACGCGTCCAAAAGAATAAACCAACAATCACATTTCATACCACAGCACAGCTCGGAGGAGAGCCAGGGGAAGTTGCAGATGTGAGTCCAGCAAGTGTGTTCCGTGCTCATTCTCTGGAAAGAACTCTCTGACTTATTCATAAACAGAAACACATGTAAAAGCCCTGGCTCACTTCCAGAGAAAAAAAGGAAGTATAGAAGAGCATTGCAATTCTTCTTCCAAGCCCTCAAAACATCCCCTCTTTTTTATCGGGTGCTCCATCGACCCTTCCCTGGCTGACGAGCCACGGCCGCTCCCCGCCCGCTCCACGCCCAAATAAGGTCAGGAGGACCTCACCGGGCCAGGAATGTTGCTGAGTCAGCATAGGCCCTGCCAGAAGCCTTTGTTTATGCCTGTGGAGAATGCACAGCCAGGCTGGGACAGCTCACGTGAGCATTCCAGGCAGGGCAAAAAAAAAATTATTCAGGACCTGTCTGATCCACTACTGGTTTGGACCTGCCGACCCGTCTGGCAGGCGCTACTGTCTAAGCCCTCAGAATCTTCATCTATATGCCATCTTGTCCTGAACAGCTGGGGTGCCAGGAAAGAGCCAACCACAACAGTTCTTCAGCTGGCAGCTTTAGTTGATACACAAGGACATAAAGCTTGCCAGTGAAGAACTGCTGCGGGTCAGCCATTGGGCACCAGGGCAAACACTGCTCACTCCTGATGACCATTAGGGGTGAAGGGACAGCATTGACCTGAAGGAAGACACAGAAAGAGAGAGGTACATGAGTCGTGAATTCATAAGAGTGAATAGTGATGGAAGACAATACAATACAATTTAATTTCTCTTGCAAACAACTGTTCATTACCTTCTTTAGCTAATGCTAAACAGCTAATGGAAGGGGAAGCAGGGGTAGAAAGGAGAAGTGCAAAGGCTGATAAAGAAGCTCTGCTGATGGGGTTTCAGCAGTGCCTCCCTTTACTGCCACAGCTATGCAGGCTAGAGCGAGCTGTGGAGTCATGTGCTTTCTGCCCCAGGGGTATTCAAACCAGAGCCAGCCCGCTACCGCTTCAGTATTCTCTCCGCTCACTCAGCTCTGCTTAGCTCTGCCTCGCCTGATGCTTCTAACTCAGCACAGGACCAGAGCTTGTGATTCCACCAGAACTATTCTGTAGGGACAGCATTCACAGTGTAGCAGTGCAGCTCCTACTCCCCCACAGGGCCTTCAGAAGCATTTTTATCACTCAAAGTGAAAGAGTTTAATGCATTCCGTCGTTCCTTAAATGTTGTCAAAAATGTAGTATAACAATGGACAAAAGGTACAGACAGAATTTAGGCTTTAAGACAGTACTGGGTAGTGTGGAAAAAATTACATCACAGCAAAATAAAATTTTCTGATAGTTTCAGTATATTTCATTGTATATATGTATTCAAATAAAACTCCTTTAAATGCCTAACTACACTTATTTTTGTAGATTAACAGTTGCTTATTATTCTGGGATGTTCCTTCACTTTTTTGAAAAAGAACCATTTTAACAACCAAAGCAAATATTTTTGAAATAATCTTGTTGTGCATAGTTGTAAAAAACAAAACTGGACGATATATAGATAAACTTATGTCAATACTACTCTCTGGCAAATTTCGGTACTAAATGTTGAGTCATGTCTGAAAAAGCTGCAGCTGAAGTTTACAGCTTTATTTGGCAGGTTTTGTTCAAATTTTCCTTTCCACTTTAAATGGAGCAGCAATTGTACTCTGGCACCTGTACAGGCACTAGAATGTAACTGCTGCACTATTTAAGGTGGAATGGGGAGAAAGCCAACTTTAGTTTCATTGAATTTTTCAAGTCCTTCATCTTATATGTGTCCCATACACTCGGACCTTCGGCTGTTAGACTTATTACAGTCATTCATGCTTCAGTACCAACTGGTTTACAGCAGTGGTTTCCAACTCTGGTCCTGGAGATTGGCAGTTTGGGTGGCTTATCAGCCAGGCATCATCTTTCTGGTGTCCATGTTAGGCTACGGCTAACCCCAAAAGGGCAATTCCTTTATGTCTGCTGCCTTGAAAACAAAGCAGCCTACTTCAGATGCGTCGGACTAGATAGTAGGAGGTGACCGAAAGACTGCTGTGTTTTCATTATAATTTGAAACATTGTTGACTTAGCCATCCAGCAAAAGTGGCTAACGTTAGTGTGGTTTGCACCGTTTGTATGTGGCGTTGTCTGCGATTTGTGGCGTTAGACTGGTATAATGGTTCTGACTTAACTGGTACTTAAGGAAGAATTTCAACTGCTATACCAGCCCGGTACTACTTTAAGGTCCTGGTTTTAGCCATGTGGTGCCTTTTTGTCACTTTTTTTGGATTAAACCTATACCATACAGTATTAGAATCATATAAGCAAGTCTGTTTGAGATTAGACTTAAGAAGTTATGATAATTTAGTCATGCAGCTTACATTATGCTAAAGTTGGCTAGCTGCATTAGCCTCACAGCTCCAGTACAAAACTAAAAACCAAACTTCACCAAAAATATGTCTTGACTGATCGACTACATTTGGGGTAAGGGGGAAATTATGTACATTTGATTTCTGGCCAAACCACTGCTTTAGTCCAACCTCTCAGTCAGATATTTCAAACAAAATAGATTCTTGAAGGAATCTTTCACTCAAAACATCGCTAATAATGAATGAAGGCTAGTAGCGCCCTGACAGCATTATGCAAATGGGATCATGCTAGCTGCTCCCCAGTATAGCTTTGCATTTAAACTTAACCACATTAGCATTTTTGGAAGCAGCATCACTTTAATTGTGTTTCATAATATAGTAGCAGTCCTCATGAGAGAAACCTCAAAGAGTCAGAGAGTCTGGAGGCCTCCCTCTCTCGCTGATCTGTGCGGTGTTAAAGGTGGCTTTGTAGTGCTGCACTTTTCCAGCAGTTCAAGGACAAGAGCATGGCCTCAGTAGCCCAGTGAACCCAGCGACCCTGCAGCACTGTGGAAAGAGCCAGTCCGCAGAGCCGTGGCCAAGGACAGGACACCCACAGACAAACACACACACATAGGGAGTCAAACTCTCAGCTAACCCCTACAAACCCACTCCCACACAAACACACCCCTGCAAACACTCACCCACACAAACATGCCCTCATTCGTACACATACACCCATGACATGGAAAGAGCAGCCTTTGCCAAACAGCGAGGCCTTTTTAATCTGGCCACACTCATTCAAACAGGCAGCGGAGATCGTGAAGGCAGCAGGGTGTCGAGAGTTGTGCAGTGCATCCATTCTGTTTACGGTTATAGAAATCAAATTCAGTTGCAGCTTCGCCCCTTCCGCTGTGTCTTAAGCATGTTGTTATCGGACACCCAGGCAGCTGAATCACCCTTTTGTCTGAAGGTGGAGATAAGATCCCTCTGTGTCCAGGACTCTGCCAGCAGAGAGAGCGGAGGGCTATGATTACAGAGAGAGCAACATTGGCTCTCTTTTACATAAACACACACACACACACACACCACTAGTGCCCGACTGATATACCAGTTGGCCTATAATATTGGCTAATATTGATGTCCCGCAGATTTATTTGTGTCCACATCAACTCTACTGATGTTTAGCAGCTTAATTTATATTCCTCTGAAACTTGTTTACCTAACCGAATTTTGACTGAGTTCTCTTTGAATACTCTTTCAATGTGCTCACAATCATCAGATTCATCCACTTGTGGAAGAGGGACGAAGCACAACCGATGTTACAAAATGTGCCCACACTGTATGCAATTACACAAATCCACCAGAGGGGTCCCCAAATCTTACATAGTGCAGCTTCAAAATGAATGTTTGATTTATGACAATATTAAACCTGACATCAAAATGGATTTTTACCTTGCTGGTTCATGTGCCTGATCACATTAACCAAGATTCATCATTTATCATATATTTAAAAAGACAAAATTCTTGTTTTGAAGTCAAGTTTAATTTTGCCCTCCTCTAAAATGTTTTAAAATGAGCTTTGATTATCACGTGTAACAGCAGGCACGGAAAAATACTATTAACCATGTTTATAACTGTTTCACATTCAAGTCAATTCATGTTGACTTTAAATACTATTGGCCAATATACTCTTTTTTGGCTCCTTAAAATCATTTTGGATGGGTCAGGCCTTACACCACACACACACACACACACACACACACACACACAATTTGTGCTTCTATCCATTATAAACCTTTGGCACAGACACCATGTGCACATACTTTTGCATAAACTACACAACAAAACCATTTACAGCTCTAGAGAACAGCACACATTGTGTATCAACAGACAACACTACTGTAGTTATTAAAGTACTCCGACTGAGTTTACCGCAATACAAGCCATTTCCCTGCCCAGCTGGAGACCCATGGCCATTAATGTCATATTCTGCTCTCAGAGCTGAAGGCTTCATTCACAAGTGGCCTGCTTTGGACACAATGGGGCATGTTTAACCATAGCCCACTCTTCCTGTCTCTCACACGAGCTGACTCACTGACACACACCAACCCGCAACGGCTCAAAATCCCATTGCACGGAACAGTATGTTCCCAAAGAGTGATTTATTGTATGGCTGTGGACGTTTCCCAGAACAATTACAGTCAAGCTGGGGGGAGATAGAGGAGTATGTACCCCTTCTTCTCTCACACCTCTGCCAGCTCTCTCTCTCTCTCTCTCACACACACATACATGCACACACACACACACACACACACACACACACACACACACACACACACGCAGACAGTGCCCCACAGCTATCTCTGTTCCTGCACCAGCTCATCCGTCTCAGGCCAGGCAACCAGTTACCAAAAGAACTCATTAATCACCAGCCAGGCTATGTCTAAGGAAACAAAACAACAAAAGAAAAGCACTTATGTACTTCACCCTCCCAGTTCCCTTCCTAGAGTGACAGCGTGCTCATATCTCAATAAACAAATGAAAACTGAACCAAATACTGCTTTTGATCAGATACCGGAGATGAGGTAATGGATGTGTTCCAGGTGAGAACAGACACCATTCAGCTTCTTACGATTAATAGCTACGGACCAGATCCTTACATAAACAAAGCCGTTGTAGACTCGATACAGCACTGTCCATCAACCTTAACAAGCTCCACCAGCTAGCCCACATAAATCGCCATCAGAATGAGCTGCAGATCAATGTATTAGTCATTCCCTTCTGCAGCTAGAACAGCACAAGGGTGGATGTGAGTAGATGAGTGAGTGGAGGGATTCTTTAATTAAACCTTAAATTTGATTTTGCCCAGGGCTGTCATGATTACTCAATTAAAAGCAATTATCTGATTATAAAAAAATAAATCTTCATCTTTTTAATAATAATGATTAACTAGTAATTTGCAATAAATTATCCTTCTGCAGTCTGTTACATTAAGGAACACACTGGAACAGTCTGGGCACAGCCATTTATTAATGCAATAAGCCAAGAGAGGCTGTGCATTATTGTTATCACAGGTAAGGGTGTTCCTAAAATTCCACAGCTCATGGTAAATCACAGTAACGCATGGCCTTAAACGGCTTATTGCTTTTTTTAAATGGTGACAACAGAAAATAAGATTTCAATAATTAATTTAAGTCATAACTATTAAATAAATTGTTCCGCCAACAAATGTAGTTAATTTGGGATGCTACTGTTGCCAAAGAATTGGACCAATGAAGGGGAAGAACACTGTATTGTATTCTTTTTTTTATATTTTGCTTCACGTA